ATATATATTTAATTATTTAAATAATTTGAGCAAAAAATGAGCCGAACACAAATAACAACAAGCAGTTATCCCATTATGGGCTACATTTTTTTTTTGTTTTTTTTATGGTGTCCTATTGAGTATCATATCAAGTCTAATAAATTAGGATCATTTTATTGCAACGTGCTCTTGTCTCTTCATGTATATCTCGACCTTTTTAACAGAAATCACATCTAAAACATAAACTTAAGCCAAAAAGCAAGTCGAACACAGGCAAACAAAAATTATTCTTGTTTTAATCATTTATAAATCGAGCTCATGAAATTTGTTTGTGTTCAGCTCATTTACTTAACGAACAAATCCAACACGTGCTCATGACACTCAAATATTTAGTATACATAAAAAAAAAAAAATTTATTACCAATTTTTTAAAAGAGAGAATGTCTTTTATGCACAAGGTTTATAACACAGAAATTTTAGCTGTAAGAAATGTTATGTGGTGTGATAACATAGGATCATTTCACTGGACTTAGCAGCAATGTCTAGCAACAGTCATAATTCTTTCTGTAATTGCATTTGGGGGTAATTATTACTCAAACCTCTTTAATAAATCCGCCAAATCTTTTATAAAACAGCCCCTTAGTGATACTTTCAGGATTGCATTTGAGTCCAATGCCATTCCTTTTGTCGTTGCAGAACATGCTGGTGCGCAAGTTGTGGAATGTGCCTGTGTTATTGAAGTACCCCATCTTAAGGTACATAAATGTTTTAATAATAGTAATTAATTCCTTATTTTCTTGCTATTCAAAAAAAAAAAATATATATATATATATATTACTGTGCAGGGCCGGGAAAAGCTGAATGGGAAGCCATTGTACGTGCTTGTGGAAACTGAATGATGCTGCTGCTGATAGATTAATAGTGGAAGCTTGAAGGGATGATTAATATATTCTTAGTATAGATTTAATTAGATGAAATCTGGTCAGTTATTTTTTTATTATTCTGACATTTTAATTATCTCACCATGCAATTTAGCTTTTACATTTTCTATTTTTTGTTATTTGCATTGTGGTTTCTTATGATGAGGTCTGCTTGCAATATTATGTACGATGGACGGGAATGAGTTGATATTTCTCAACTTGAATAATTTTTTAGTTATTAAAATTAAGTGATCTGAGAAGTGAAGATGGTGAGTTGTAGGTAACGCAAAATTTAGTGGTTATTTGGTGAGTTTTAGGGTCTGTTCGGGGCGGCTTGTGTGTTTTAGGATAAAACAACTTGTCCTGAAACGTGACCCGCGGGTTTGCAGTCTTTGTTTAGTGTTAAAAAACTCAAACGCAGCAGACAATGTTTTAAAAAACGTGCAAACCAAACTGTTAGGCGACGTTTTAAAAAATGCTGACGTACTTATAAGCTGCCCCAAACGGGCCCTTAATTTTGAATTGGCAGATTAACTCATTAAATTTACTTGGCTAACTCGGATTGGGATTGGGTGTAGTTAAACTAAAATTAATATAAATGCCTCTGAAATATCTTTTTTTAAAAATATTTTAAGTAATTATATTATTATTGATGCCAATATATGTATATTTTAATATACCTAATTAACATATAATTCATTTAATTCTACCTAATAATTGATTTTTTATAGTAGTTGTCAATCAAGGACGAATTAGTAGTATTTTATAATTAGGAGTTTTTTTATTTAAATTATTTTTAATATTTTTATTCTGATTTATTTTCTTTTTAGCTGAATATTTAAATTAGTAATATGTATTATTGAGTTATTTAAAATAGATTATACATAATATTTTCTACCTAAAATAGATTGTAAGATTATTATTTAATGGAATGAAAGCAAAGGAAAAATACATCAAGCTTATTTAGGGTTCAACCTATTTTTCTCAAAACTTTGATATGGTATTAGAGAACAAAAAGCTTATTTAGGATTCAACCTTATTAATCAATATCAATTTGACGGGGGATGTCCATCAGGAAGGATGAAAATCAGACAGCTAAATTAAGAGTTTTCTATAATTAGGAGCTTCCTTATTTAAATTATTTTCAATATTTTTATTCTAATTTATTTCCCTTTTAGCTGAATATTTAGATTAAGAATATATATTATTAAGTTATCTAAAATAGATTATACATATAGTTTGTACTTAAAATAAATTGTAAGATTATTATTTAATGAAATGGAAGGAAGCAATGGGAAAAGACATCGAGCCAATTCAGGATTCAACTTATTTTTCACAAAACTTTGACAATAGTAATATGTTATTTTATTATTTGTTATAATAATGGGTAAAATTACCGTTAATTTTAATGGCTTAGAAAAAGGATATAATGTAGTTTAATTAGTTTTGATCATTTGATTTGTCAGGCTTTCAATTCTTTTTTTTTTTTTTTGGACATATATAAGTTTCAAATTAATTATCTAGAAGCATTGAATTTGTTGAATTAATATCATTGAATAAAAATGTGGTATAATTAATTTTTAATTCAAAGATTTTATATTAGGTAGTTGAATTCAAACATAAGATTTGTTGAAATACATTTGTATTTGTCTCACAAATAGTTATTTAGCTAATTAAGTCATATTCGTCATGTCTTTAATCATACTCATTTAACATTTATAGAAGAAAAAAATATTTTATGTGGATCACAAAATAAATATTTTTTTATGAATAAATTATATTCTCATTTAGTGTTTCTCACTTCTTTTAATCTCATTTTTTATATTTAAACAAAAAAAAAAAATTCTCAAAATATTTTAATCCTTTCATTGTAATGATTAATAGAGTTTAAAAATGATTCTAAGAATATCTTTCTTCAAATGAAGGCTATAGGAAAAACCAAATATTTAATGTGTTTCTAATAATATGCTCCTCTCTCAGCTCAGTCTCAACACTTTATAATATATTAATTGTTGAGAACATTGTGATCAATATCACAAGGGACACATAATATGAATCATATTGTAAATCTCTTGTCTGTCTAACAATAACCTCATATTTTAGAAAAAAAATATTACATCAGAACTCTACATGTAGAGTTACTTGTGGGGTCCAATCTCGAGCTGACAATTGGAAAACCGAGACCCGCCTACATAAAAAATGAAAAAAAGAATGAAAAACACACGACCCGACCCGACTGCGTTATTTATCTTTGCCGGGGTGTTATAGGAATATTCTCTGGTGTTATTCTGAATATTTTTCGCTTTATTAATGTGTTATTGTTGTGTTATTGAGATGATTTTAAGATGTTGTTATTCTTTAAACAACAATACCAACTCAAAATCACCTTCAAAAAACATGAATAACACATTAGTAAAAGTTTTCATCTTATCTTGGATTGTATCACCTCAATAATTCATCAATAACACATGAATAACACATCAATAACACATTAAAAATAGTGACGGTCGTGATTTTGAGATATTATTATTCTTGAAACAATTATACCAACTCAAAATTACCTTCATAACATATGAATATCACATCACTAAAAATTTTCATATTGTCATTGGATTGTATCACCTCAATAACACATCAATAACACATGAATAACACACCGATAACACATGAATAACACACCAGTAACATATTAAAAACAATGGCTGAGGTGATTTTGAGATGTTATTGTTCTTTAAACAACAATAATAACTCAAATCACTTCCATAACACATTAATAGCACACCAATAAAAATTTTTATCTTGTCATGTGGTTGAATCATCTCAATAACAAACTGATAACACATGAATAATACAAAATATATTCAAAATAATGCGAGGGAATATTCATATGTGATGAAATATTCCTATAATTAAGCCGAGTTGCGTATTTTCTTTCTTTTCTTTTATTTTTTTATGTAGATTGGCCCCGACTTTCCATGTGTTAGCTGGAGATTGGACCCTGCAAGTAGCACTACATGTGGAGTCCTCGTATAATATTTTTTTCCATATTTTAACCTTTGCAAATGGAAACTCTTGCTTTCTTTTTCCATATTGAGCTTAACCTCTCCTTTTGCAAATCTTTGTAGCTGGATTATTAATTAGTAAACAAGAAAGAAGCACAATTAACGTGGCTCAAAAGGGAGCAGAGAGGAAAAGCCATGATGTCACCTTGGTTTTAATTCCTATATTGTAAGGGTCCCGTCAAGTCACGAGGACTTTTGGCCATTAGTGAGTGTTCCTAGCAACATGTGAGCTGGTGTGTTCCAAATTTGCATGATTTTGGCGAATTCAGAATAAACTGAAAATGAACCAGAAGAGGTATTTTGAATTCCTTAAACAAAGTTTATTGTCTATGCTCTACTCCAAACCAAGCAACAAAAAATGGCAAGCATTATTTTAGTAATTAATGCTGAATATTTTCCCAATCTAAAATCCGATGCTACTTTTTAATTGTAACATAAATTCATATTAGGTATAATTTTCTGTTAAAATAATGGTTTTTTTTCTAGAAAAAGAGAGATGATTTTATCTCAAAATAAAAATATTACTCATATTTATCCTGTTCCTTGAGAATTTAATGTTGACGAGAGCTGAAATGTAATCAATAATGGCAGAACCAGAACAGTCAAGGAGCACATTGTCCCTCTCTCTCCCTCTCTCTCCCTCTCTCTCCGTCCCAACATGTGAGTTAAAATCATGATAAATGAAGAAGAACATGGAATTGGAAAGGATGACAGGGAAAAACTGGACAAGGATTGTTACGTCAGAAGTGTAAAAATAGATATTATATATGTTGACTATGCATATGCCAATTATTTATTTTATGGATTTGTGACAACAGTGAAGAAGATTTCTGGCTTGAACATCAGTACTGAGATCTGTCGTCACTGTACATATTTTCACATGATAAGACTGCAGGAGAGCAATGAAAATGATTTGGTTTTCTTTGACGAAGGTGACGTATCATGACTGGAAATTCAGAATAGCTCATTTGCTGTCAGCTATTCTCAATTTTGTGGATGATCATTTCACTAGTTTTTTAGGTTAATTGGCCCAACAAAGTTGGGATATGTTGAGAATGGTGAATGATGATAGGGCAAAAATAGAGTTGGTAGAGAGATAGATCTCAGACATATCTTTGTATGATGATATGATAAAAGCCTTTTGGTGTGGGATAGAAAACAAGAGGTGATGCCTCCACTCTTGGTTGTATCCGGAAGGTAGACCTGCCCCTTTCATCTCTTAGGCCCCATATGTTAAATCTCTTAGGCCCCTTATATTATTGTTTTAAAACTATAACTCTAGTGATTTATTTTTTGAATGGATGGATGGGAAATTCGAGCCATATCCAACCGATTCATTGATACTAAAAAAAATAATATATTTTTTCAAACTAAAATTTCAATAAAGGAGAAAACTTTCCATAATAATCAATGAATAAAATTGTAAAAGTACAAAATAAAATATATAATTTCTACTGATGACTACTGAGAAGAAAAGAAAATAAGGTTTAAAGATATCCATGTGAGATATTATGAATGATTGACTCCATTTAAACCTATCCAAATAGAAAGTAATGAGAGAATAATAACAATGTCAGTTCCATATATAATTAGAAGGAAGACTATTAAACATATTTTTGCATGAATATCAATTAATGATGGCATCAAAGAAAGTGCACTATAATTCATCAAACTAGGAAGTGGGAAGTGGCATATAGGATGTAAAGGGTTCCATATCTTTAAAATAAGATAAAAGAAAAAATTCACCGAGTGATTACAATGGAAAGCTTTCTCCAACAAACACAATTTGATGGGCTTATACAATTATTGATTAAACTAACAGAATGAGAGGTTAATATATGAAAATTTTAGAAGTTTAGAGGCACAAATATTATGTTTAAGATCAAACAGTTTACCAAAAATTTCTTTAGATTTGTGAATGTTGTTAAAGACACCTATAGTAAGCCATGATTCATTAATATAATTAGCAGCAAAGAAATGGCAAAATAATACGGTAGTTATTTCCTTTTAATTACATAATTTTTATCATAAATAAAGTTCATCATAAATCTAAAGTTTGGGTTGAAATTAAATCGATAAACAAAAAATATATTGAGCACAAGTCTCCAACCCAAAGAAAGAGATAATAGCAATGTTTCATTTTCTCTATGTATTATCATTTAGG